GCTCAAAGTCCCTTGGATCTGATTCAAATGAAAACCAATGGGGCAAAATGCATAAATCATGGATGCATATGAATGATCTATTTATGAGGGGGTGGGACTGGCGACTATTGCGCCGGCGGTGGTGGTGAGAAACGCACCGGCGGTAGTGCCAGCTATGGCGTGAGATTGGATCAAGATCTGATTACCAAGTCAGAATAGATGGAATGGTTTTGCTGTGCCTGTAGCTACGGACTTGCATAGTATTAAATAATACCACAAACTCGGTTGCCAAGTACAAGAGATTACAAGATCATATTTACAAGGAAACCATCCTAGATAATCTGTCAAATATAATTACAAAGATTACATACTGATGTATAATACATTAACAGAGGAAAGGCTTGGGCTTTGCCCGATAGACACTAGGGGTTCATATGGTCGGTTTGGACACACATGTTTGGCCATTAGAATTAGTGGCATGGAATCAATAGTGCCTTGGGTGCACTATTGGGCGTGCTCTGGGGTTTCCTTGATTCCAGGGGTGATAAGAAGTTTTCTAAGATGTTTTGCCATGGTCCTGGGGTGACATTTGACCAAGTCTTGGTTCTGGGGATCAGCAGAAGATGAGGGAGAGAGAAAGTGCTCCTGCCCCCTGATCAGATCAATGGAATCATGCATTTGGGCAGGGAATTTGACAAATTGACCAGTGAGACTTGCACTAGCTAAGCTTCATTGCAGGACTGAGCTCTGCTAAAGATTTGGTGGCATTTGGAGAAACGTGTCTTCACAAAACTTTCAAAACTAGAATCTGCATGAAGTGGAAAAGAGGAAGAAATCCAAACCAAATGAATGATATGGTAGCTCAAAATTGGCAGGGTGGATACGTGACAACATTTAGCCATCCCAAAATTATTTGGGAATTTCTGGAGAAAGTTGTCCATGTAAAAGTTTCGAACCCTACAAATGTGCAGAATTGAAAATTGTAGATCTAGGAATATTTTTTAATATTACCATAAGTTAAAACTCTTATATATGGGAACTGTTTGTCCCCTAAGTCTCTCTATTTTTTCTCAAATAGTTTTGAAACAAAAAATAATTTTAACCTATTAAAGATAATTTCTGGCCTTTAGAGAAAACCTTTAAATAAAAAAATACTTTTATACCTTTTAAAATAATAGTTTTGTGCTTCTGGCATATCCTATAGGTAATAGGATCCAAATATATTTTTTCAAGGTTTTGTTCCACCTAATTTAATGACTTGTAGTTCAAGCCTCATGTTAGGGGGTTTTGAAAATCTATTTTTGTTTTGAAAATAGATTTTTGTGAAATCATTTTGGAAAATAATTATTTTTAGGACCTAAACCCATGTCATGATCCGTAGGAGAAAATTTGGAGTGAAAAAACTGAAGTAGAAGTACCGCATGATTTTTTCTAGTCCTAGAGCACTTTTATCAAGCAAGGCACAATCTAACATATAAAGCCTCTTAGGGTACCCGCCGTTCTAGCGCCATCGCGGTCTCGGATGAATCCGGCGCGCACATTCTACCCTGTACCTGGTTGGTCCTTTTAATCTCGCTGTCAAACATCCCGACGTCCATTTTTTTTGTACGTTGGTTGCTTGAGTTGGACTGAATGACGGTTGGGCCACCCTTGTGCGCGGGGCCACCAATTCAGCGGGTAATGCGGCAGCAGCAGCTATCGCGCGCGTGCGCCAGCGGTGAACGTGGGTGGAAGGGCGTGGGGCGCGGGGTGTGATGAATATTTTTTACCGTCCTCCCCTAGACCCGGTTGTGGCTCCTCTGTTCCAGCCGTGGTGGCCCCAACTGTCGGTCTCTCGAGTGGCCAGTTGTTGGTTGGTTGGTTCCTTCCGCACAACGTGATAGGCTGGGGTCGCGCGCCTCGTACGTGCCTGCTGACCAGGCGACACGACATGGGTGGGTGGATGGTGCGTCGCTGCTTTTTTACCCGTTGTGTCTATACCCAGCTGCGTTGGTGGCCCCTGCTTCAGGATGGTCCCGCATGGCAGCGTGTTGGGCGTGTGTGGGAGGCGTGTGCTTGCTTGTGTTGCCTGCAGGGACCGCGCGACGCGCGTGGGGTGGGTCATGTGGGGGTGTAATTCTGCTTTTCTACTCGCTCTTCACTTACCCAGTTGTGTTGTTGTCTCTCTCCTCTTTTGGTCCCACATGTAAGTGTAATGGGTGGCTCGTTCCGGATGAGGGAGAGTCGTAGAGACGTTTCTTTCCAGGAAAGATGGCCCTCTTCTCCCCACGTTCTCTATACCGGGGTGGGTGGGTCCATGAGTGCACGTTCCCCACTTCACTCCCCTCTCCCCCCTCTTTGATTCCCCATCCACCGCCGCCTCCTCTCTCGCCTCACCGCCGGCCTCCTCTATGCCCCTTCCTCTCCCTCTCGGACGAGGCCTAGCTATGGCCACCCGTGCCGCATCCTGCATCTGGCGCGGGAGCGTGTGGTGGTGACTAGCCGAGCCGTCTCGCTGGTGGCTCGAGCACGGACCCTTGCGACGGCGTCCGGGCGAGGCCGGGCACAAGGCGGAGCTGCGGCCGGCGACCCGGCACCCGCGCTTGCCCGGCGGCGGGACCGTCTTCGTCGTGGCCGGTGGGAGAGTTGGGCGGCAGCAAGCGGTGCGGCGAGGGGAGGCGCATGGGCGAGAGGGTGGGGCTCTTGCTAGCCGCTCTCCCGTCCCGTTGGTTTCTTGCGGCCACGGTGGCGTTTCTCAGATCGAGCTGGATGGCGCGACGGGGGCGTGGCACAGGTCGACTTGGGAGCGCATCCGGCATCCCGGTGGCCACGTAGTGGCTCTGGTCGCCGGGAGGGCTTAATTCTGTGGTTAATTCCATCCACCCCTCCTATTCTCACTTCTCTTTCTCTTCTTGATGCAGGGCCGTGATGTGATTCACCCTGTCCAGAGGGTAATTTCTGCGTGTGATTTGGGTAAGGATCTGGGTGCTGTTCGTTTGCTCACTGTGTTTGTTCCTAGGTGAGCCTCTCTCCTTTTCCCATGCTCTTACCTGCTCAATAAAATGCTTGTGTGGCTGCAAGCTATTTATCTGCCTTGGGTTAGATTCCTTTTGGTTTCTTGACAAACATGAAAAAAATGGAGGTGAAGAGGAGAGGAGGAATTACTTCATATGTTTAGGCAGCACGAGATTTCTAAAGTTAGTTTACAACTTCTTAGCCAATTTTGGTTGTCTTGCAAAGTAAAAAAAAACAAGTAAATAGTTTGCTTATTCCCTAAGTAAATCAGTGTTATGTTCGTCGGGTCCATCTAATCACTTTCTCGTGCATCCAGGTCGGCACCGCTGTTGTCACCGGCAGAATGGCCGACTGGCCATGGGCGGGCTCGGAGCCCTCTGCGAGCAGGTAACTGAATTTTCTGACCAAGGAGCTTTCTAAACCTGTAAAAAATCATTCTGACAGTTGTTGACTGGTAAATATGTGGAACTATTTCAGGTGAAGGAGCTTAATTTCCAGGGGTATGAGGTGATTCTGGTCGCCTCCCGCGCCGCCGGCGTTGAGGCAGAGGCTCAAGTACGGAAAGCTCATCAACAGCAGGTTGCAGACCATTTTTTCTCACAGCAGTTTACTGACGGTCATTGCCTCTGGTTATCGTCAGTGCTTGTGTGGTGATAATTCTCCTTGCTTGCAGTTTCGCCGATCTGCAGAACCCATAGTTCGACCTGGATGGGAAGGCATGCGCTGCCGTCGGCCAGAGTGGCCTCATGGCTATCTACGATACACTATTTAGCCAGGTGGGTTTGCTAACTGTTGTTCTTTCTTTTATTGTTGTTGTTGAGGTATGGTCTTTCTTGCTCATCTCCAATCAAATGCTTGTGAGCTGAAAAGTTCTTGTTTGTTTGTTTCCCTTCCTGTTCAAGTTGTTCATCTTCTGTGTCGTTAGCCAGCAAGGTTAGATGTGCTCTCATTGCCACGCTTGATTGCTTCTTGCAGCATGTTCTTGTTTGAATATGTTTACCCTGGTGATTTGCTTTCTGTTTGCTGCTTGGGCAAACATGTGTGTCCCCTGTTTTCGGCAGTACATCTTCGGGTTAGTGCTGTGGGCGAAATGTGTGCAGCAAGTAGTAGTTGTAGCTGCCCATTATGAATATTGTGCCTACAGCCATGGTTGACACACGTATTAAGTGGTAGTTACTCCGTACACATAGAAGGACGGTTTAGTGCGGAGAGGTTTATGAAGGCCTACTGGAATTAATTATTTCAGAACACTTACCCCTTCTAAATTATATATTAGCAGGGTTGTGCTTATATGTCCCTCTTTAGATAGTTCTTGGGGAGACGGCATATTTATATTTCTAATTTAGGCTACAAAATGGATTTTATTCGTATGTCTGCTATATTTCAATTGTATTGTCTTTCCTTCAATCAATTGACAAGTTCTTGCTTCTTTTAATATTATTTCTCTTCAATCAGTTTATGAATCCTTAGTTCATTTAGTGTTATCTCTTTACACAGAAGATCCTACTTTCATAACTGATGTGCTATTCTCACATGCAATTAACTTGATCTGGTTAGAAAGAATCAATGGTTGGTGCTTGTTAATTGCATTAATAGTAGTTGTTGTGTTCTGTGGTGATTATATGTGCCACACATGAAGTATTGTATAAATGTGCTTTTATTGTTCAAGAAGCAAGAATTTCTGCCATTTTTTGTTGTCTTTCATCTTGGTATAGCTACAAATCTGCTGCATATGTTTTAAAGATTAGGCATCTCGGGATAGCTACAAATCTGTTGCATACGCCTTTAAATATAGGCAGAGAAAATTTTACCAATTGGTGGCAGGTCCCTTTTTGGTTTGCTACGTTATTTTGCTGTTTATTAGGCAACACACTAATTTCCCTTTGCTTACTAATGCCATGATTCCTTTTATGTTTCTGGTAAAAACAGTTGGGTAATTCTTCTGTTGCTTCACGGATCTTCCTGCACGTTGTGTCTGTATTACTGCCACTGAAGATATACCTCAACTGAAGATCTAGCTTGTGACGATGATATACCTAAGGTTAGTGTTATTATTACATATGGGGAGAGGTTTATGAAAGCCTACTGAAACTGATTATTTGGTTACACTCACCACTTCCTTTGGACAGAAGTCGTTGTCTGAACGTACTGACCATTGTGTTATGCAGTGTTGGTCTATACTTTAATGCACCTGTGTTCACGCATGGCCAGCTTTATGTAGCAGTGTCGCGTGTGACCTCAAAAAAGGCTTTGAAAATCCTGATTGAACATGAAGATGGTACTACTGATTCTCAGACCAGGAACACTGTGTTTCGTGAGCTCTTCCACTCCATTTCTTATAATCCATGCTGGTGGTGTCTTTTACAATACATGCATTATTCTATTTACCCTGTTCGCTATGGCCGGCCAGTCTGTTCTAGCTGATTCATGTGGTCGTCCGATATGTGTGGTGCCAACTGCCATTTCTTTGCTAGCTGATGTCCGTAGTCTTTTGGTTCATACAGCTTAGTGCCTCATATATGAATGCTCTTTTTGGGTTCTTCAATTTCTCTTACCCCCTATCTTTTGCTGCTACACTGATTATACGCCTGTTCTACCCTGATGCTCTTTCTTCATGCTGGTCCTATGTCACGGGTGTTAATATCTACTACCTATTTACCGCTTGTTGTGCAAAATCTTTAGGTTATTGTAAATCATTCCCTGCTGTATAAAGTTTGGTTTTAGTCTGTTGCATTTTGTTGGTTCCTATCTTGCCAATGTCTACAGCAATATGCTTTCTTGATAGCCTATTTTGCTTCACATTTTTTGGGTATGCCACTTCTCTAATGAGTGGGTGCATCTCTTCTTTGTTTTATCATTCTATATTTTTTTCCTAACCTTTTTGGTATTCTGCTTTCTCCTTGCAGATGGCAAGCACCATTTTGTTGGTTCCTGCCTTGCCAATGTCTACAGCAATGTGTGCGGCCTTTGTCTCATCTGTGGCATTACCGTGGGGCGTGGGGCGACTCATAATGGGCCTATCAAGCATACTGACCTTGTGATGATAGATAAAGAGGTTGATGTCAGTGCCATTCAGATAAATATATTTTTAGCCCTTTGAATTGAAAAATGAGTGCTTCTTGGTTGTTTCTGTTGTTGGTCTAGAAGATTCTTGGTGCTTCTTGGTGCTTTTACTACATGTCCAGTAGTATACTATGCTAACCCACATAAATGACAAAGTCCTGCGCTAATCCTTGTTGGCACTTATTGGTGTGTTAACTAAATGGTTTAGTCCCGCGCTTCATAGAAGCAGTTTTAACTAAATGTAATGAACTAATTAAGCGCCTTCTTTTATTGTTGGCTAATCCTTTGGTTTTATTGCATGCTACATTCTATATGATGATACGCTACGACTCTACTAAGTCCAGGCACTATAAACCCTATGTCAGCTATGTATGAATTTGGAATCCATATTGCAGAATTATTTGCTACTGTTGTATATAATGCTATCTCAGCTTCCCAATGAACGATGCATGCCTTCACCTTCAGGCACAAGGCAAAGTGTGTCCGCCTATGAGGACATCATCATAAACCTTCAGTGTCACCTGAATGCCTTGTGTACCAGACTTATGTTTATAATGGTCTTATGCTATCTCCACATTAGTTTATCTTTGTGTATGGATTACTAACATCACTTTCTTACTCACTACTTACATTGCTTCTAACTAGCTTCTTGCGCCATTGGCGCAACCGGGTCATCTAGTATTCAAAAAGTTAAAATGAGAGAGAACCATTTAAAATAAAATGCTAAATTTTAAGGATCCAATTAACACTATTGGCTCTAAGTTGACTGGATACAAAATCTAGGATGTTAAACCATGTTCATGGATGGATAATGTGCTCGTTTTAGGGGATAACACTGCAGATGGCCTAAAATGCACTAAATTGATAATATTGACAAGACCCCAATGGTACAAATTTGTGGCATATATTTCATTGAATATTTGTATACTGCCAAGGAGAATGAAATAATTGCCAAACTCTATATTGTGGAAGCTACGCGTTGCACTTTTTTGAAGTGTTGGGAAGCTTGTGAATAAATAAGTTTATACTAGTACATATGCCCGTGCGTTGCAACGGGCTCCTCATCTTTGTTGTAACGTCCCCAAAAGGTGTGGCAGCCTCGATGAGCGCGTGATCCCTCCCTCGTACCGTTCTACCCAACAATTCAACCTAGGGGAATGCAACATCCAAAAGATGCCACTCAGCTATGAGGAGACCACGTCTTCCTCTGACTCCGACCTCCATCTATCATAATAACGACCTGATGCTGCGGCATGGCGTCATCTAAATAGTGCCAACCAAAATCATCTTTCTGTATACTAGTAAAAAAGCATGATTTAGGAACGTAATCCCGAAACATGAGCTCACAAGTAGACCTAAAGACAGCATATGAACAAACTCGAAGAAACTTCAATGCTAGTCCTTCACAAAGTTGAAAGAACTGCTGGATTAAAAAAAATTCAGTGTTCCAATAAAGGAATTTTTTCCACCGATAATATGCACCTATAACTCCATCTATCATAATAACGACCTGATGCTGCGGCATGGCGTCATCTAAATAGTGCCAACCAAAATCATCTTTTTGTATACTAGTACAAAAAGCATGATTTAGGAACGTAATCCCGAAACATGAGCTCACAAGTAGACCTAAAGACAGCATATGAACAAGCTCGAAGAAACTTCAATGCTAGTCCTTCACAAAGTTGAAAGAACTGCTGGATTAAAAAAAATTCATAGTGTTCCAATAAAGGAATTTTTTCCACCGATAATATGCACCTGTAACTTGATTGGTGTTCATCATAAAACATGTTCCTATGTTAGCATGTCTGCATGAATCTCTATTAGCATGCTTGTATGAACCTCTGTTAGCATGCACAAATCACTGAATTAGGTTGTGAACTTTAATTTTTCTAAAGAACCTGACATGACTTCTCTGATATCTTCTTAATTAAGCTACAATCTACTGTGACCAAATTAGGATCTTGATTAATTATTACACTGAAGCGGGTTAGCTACTTTGGTTCAATGACAAAATATATGATGGTGTTTTGCTAAAGGAGAACTCCCTCCGTCCGGAAATACTTGTCATCAAAATGAATAAAAGAGGATGTATCTAGATGTATTTTTGTTCTAGATACATCTCCTTTTGTCCATTTTGATGACAAGTATTTTTGGACGGAGGTAGTATATGGTAGGAAAGCTATTATCTGAACCAAAGAGGGTAAAAGTGGTTGTTGCAAACTCAGAATAAATAACCGCAGATTGTAAACGGCAGAACCTACCTTGTCAACATATTCTATCTGTAGGCACAGAACACAAAATATCTTGTGAATTACATGCCACATGTATTGTAAAGAAGCCTAGTTTAAGTTGAATATGTAAGTCGCGGCTCATAAGCCCCTGCCAGATCTGAAATGGAGATGCATATACATAGAAATCATGCACAGATAGGTGTATGGCAGGGCACATGTTACCTTGTTCATACTGTCCATGGTCCAATTATATTCACCGGATCTTGTAGCACATTGGCCAAATAGTGCAATATAACAATTCAATTTGCAAGTATACTGAAGCAAAGCATGCACATTGAGTGTTGTTTGGAGGAGCATCGGGAGGTTTTCAGTAACCAATAGAAGAAATTCTGGATTTTTACACCCTAGTCACAACCTGGGTCTTAACAATACAGAAGAAGCCCAACTTTATTTGCTTTACTTCTATCGAGAAAAGCAAGAACATGAGTTGCGCTTCAACTGGCTTATAACATGGTGAATGTGACCATATGTTACACAGATGAGTTCGAATTCTTCGTGCTCTCTCTTGCATTTTTCATTGAGTTGAAGTTCCATTATCGTGCCCGGTGACTACGAAACAATATGTTTGAGGAAAATATTCATGTTTCAATCAAAATACTAAGTACAATAGATAAAATTACTCAGAAATATGTTGTATCATGGCAAACCCCTTGTTTTTAAATAACATGTACGCTAATCTGTAGAGTTAGTTACTTAAAACAGAAATAAAAGATGAATTAGCATGTCATTATCAGTAAGAAACAATCCTATGAATGATCGCCACCTAACTACAACAACAAAATTTCATATTTTTCGTATGACTTGCTCCACCAAAGATTTTTGTGTCTCTAGCTAGTAAAATGGCAGGATAAACTAAAATGTATCAGTTCTGGATGGATAGCAAAAAGGATGAAGATCACTACAGAAAAGAAACAAAGAATATACACATACAGATGTAAGGCACACATGTGAGATGAAATAGGCAGAATAATTTTTTCACTGGTCACGAACAATGTCCAGTATCGTTTTTAATGTGTTCCTATATCAGAAGGCTATTAGGCAGCCAAAGTAGGATGAAGAAGCATATGAAAGAGAGCTTGAATGCCTACTGTTGGGAGAAGTGTTTAATGTATGAGATACACTAACCCGATAAAACCCACTTTACCATAGTCTACATAATCCAGATTCCTGCATGTATATAGTGAACCGGTAAAAAGGTTACACGAACCAATGGATGCATGATAAGAGAGGGACTCGTATTAAAAGTAGTTTGCCCATGAATATCATGGAAATCTTGTGTTGTGATGATGCAACAGTAGCGTTCTGATAACAGCATGCTGATATCTGCCACATTTAAGTTAGGCACATCATGGAAGTCTAGAAATTATGTATATATAAGTTAGGCACATGAGATAATATTCTTTGTAAGTAACAGTAGAAGCAAAAATCTGCTAGTTCTAAATTTGAAGGCTGCAAATCTACACATTCAGATCCACCGATTAATGTGTTAACGTGGCAGAGACGACATCTCTACTGCTCTAGGAGGCGCTTTTGAGTGTCTGCCCCAACGTTTAGGAATTGCAGCTGGGCTGCGGAAGAGCTAAATAACTAACCGCGATCTCCATATATCTATTGTGAAGATAAGTATAATAAGCAAGGATAAATTTTGACAGTTTACCTTCATACATCAACACAAATTGATGTATACTATCGTTCTTATGTAGCCATGGCCACCATACAAAACAACGATGAAAAAAAATTTGAGGTTCATCATTTATATTCCAAGATATGGGAATAAAAGGACAATTTACACAGAAGTTCACTGGGGTGAATTTATAAAATTAGCTTGGAATTACTACAGTTTCTCTGTTGGTTCACTTTTCATAAATTTCCCTTTGATTCAGTCGCTGACAAATGATTTTATAACAGAAAACTAACTTTAAAGACTTCATGCATGTAAATAATAATGCGGCATAAGGTTTTTCTGTTCATTAGTGTTCACATCGCAAGAAAACAGAACTGCACATATGCTAAAACTAAAGAAAGGTTCCTGCAACTCATAATATGACTAATCTGTATGGACTGGAACTGAACCACTTTGAAAAAAACATTCGTAGGCAAGACCAGAAGATCGGAATCTAGTTTCTCTAAGGGCTCAGATCACAAAGATATATAAGATGAGTATTTAAAATATGGCAAAAGGGAGCAAACCATGCATGCATGGAGGAGATGTTATGAAATGTCAGTTATATCATCAGTCCATTACTTGAGCATCTTCGACAACAAATCCATCAGGGAGCACGGCCTCCTGGAGCTAATCAAGGCTGAAGTAATACAAATTGTAAAGTATTCCTCCGTCCGGAAATACTTGTCATCAAAATGAATAAAAGGGGATGTATCTAGATGTATTTTAGTTTTAGATACATCCTTTTCTATCCATTTCGATGACAAGTATTTTCAGACGGAGGGAGTACAACAGAACCAAGCCACCAATTTCCAAGTGATCTTGCATGACCAATGCCAACTATCATTATTACATATTATCAGAATGTCGAGGTAAGGAGTATTTTAACTACCAAACTGTACTGCTAAGTTTTATTTTGTTCCAAACAGTGTGCCAATTCACATGGACCAAGCTTATATGTGGTACTTCAAACCCACAAACTAAACTGATTTCTTAGTTCAAATCATACTTTTATGTAGGAAAAAGCTAGCGCGGCTCCTAGGAACCCTAACCAATGTTGCTTTGGTTTTACAATTTCATTGC